AAACAAACAAAAAAAAACTGATGCAGTGGCCAAGGTCCTCACAACCTTTTTTTTTCTTTTTAAGCAAATACAGCAGATGGTTGCTTGTTTCTGATAGTCACCTTTGATAAGAGTGGTAATATACCATTTTACCAGATAAATGGTAATATATCATTAAAATGCAATGAATGCAGTGAAAGTAAGTCTGCAAGAGGCTTAGCTCAATTGGCCCAGCATGATCCAGGGATAGACCCAGAGTTTCCAGAAGAATGGATAGATAGCACATATTCTTAGCATGCTTTTTTATTTTATTTTTCTCAATAAGGCTTTTGTTAAAGATAGTCAACAAAGTATGGTTGTAGTACGTGGTGATGGTCTGGAGTTATATGTCTTTATGTTGTTGATTGAGGGTGAATTCAAATGCTTTAGAAACTAGAAGAACAGGTGTTCAGGTTGATATTTTGTTTTGGAAGTGAAAGGACCCAATGAAGATATTCACCAGCAATGAAGGTGAACTTTTCCATGAACCAGGCTCTTGACAAGAAAACCAGGTTTTTCCTACTGAAGCACTTTTAAATTCCTTTCAGCACATAAACTAGTGTTTGGTTAGTTTTACAAAGTAAATACCATGAAAAGTGGCTAAAATGTTTTAGTTTTGAAAAATTTCGAAGCAGGTAGTATCATCACTATGAATGCCTACATAAAGCCTCAATAATTCTATGCATTATCTCATAAAGTGGAACATGGATTTCTAGTTATAAAATGTAAAAAGTCATTGGAGAAAACTAAGTGTACTCTTACGGAATAGCTGTGTGGCATTATTTAATATGAGCCATTGAATACGTGAAAAATGTTTGCCAACGAAAATTACTTTTGTCCTGTAATGCCGTTCTTTCTAAAAAAGAATTAGATAGTAGGACCAGATATATATTTAGGTCATTTCTGTTTTGAAAAACAAAACATTATCACCTGGCAGGAGGAGACTTTTCTTTCTGTTTTTTATTTCAGGGGACTATATAATGATATAAATACATAGATTTGTTTTCCTTGTTAGCAGGTACAAGTAGTCAAGTTTTTTCCTTAAGGAGACCTGAAGAAGATGATACGGCTTTCTTTGAAAGACGATACCAGGAGAGGGTAGGTTTTTCAGGAAATCCATTTGCATTAACCATTTACTTGTAACAAAAACACTATAGAAGTATTACATATTGAATGCGGAACATCATTTAAAATAATTTTCAGGTGTTAGGCTTTGAGGCTTATTTGCAATAATTCAGACAGAAACAGGACTCATGAATAATATGATATATAATACACTGGTTGATTATGAAGGTCATAAACATTGACTAAATACAAAAATAAAATTATCAATCATCATCAACCATCAGTAAATTTGTAAATTATATGTACCTTGAGTTCTTTTTTTTAATACATGTACCTTTATTTTTTTATTTTAAAAAATTTAATTGTCCAAGATTGAATATATTTTGAATTCTTAATATGCATTATATCATTTCTTCTTCTCAGAGGTTTTTTGGTATATCCTGACTCAAGTTAAAATTACCCAATAGCCTTTAAGAAACAGAATACTAAACATAGACATATTTTAACAGCTTCCAGGGTTCAACAACTATAGTTTTGATGTGTTCACAGTTTTAAGTAATGTTCATTTTCATCAGTTCCCCACTGGAGTATAAATGCCTTAGGGGTAAGAATAGTATTTTATTCATCTTTGTATTTTCCCTAGCACCTAGTACAGTGCCTTGTATGTAATGTTTTCAACAAATATTTGTGGAACATTGAAAAAATAACATATAATTGATACTCACTTTCATAATGTTAACTTCTTACAATTTTGATAAGTTTCATGGAAGTGTTCATATCTGAGAGTTTTGTTTTTGCTTTTTGCTAAACGAAAGAATGTTGGCTTGATCAGGCATTTGGAATAGTATTTCAGCCATATGGCCTAAAGTGCTTTCTTTAGTATTATTCTATAGTTGCTTTGTGGGCATTATTATCTCTCCCAATAGATAATAAACTCCACAAAAGTAAAGACATGCTTGTTGCTTTTTGTTGTATCCTCTACAACTCAGATAAGAAGCTAGTTAAGTAACTGAAGGTGTGGAAAAAGGAGAACCTTAAATAAATTCACCATCCAAGAGCACAGGAAGTAAGTGGAAAGCACAGAGATTAGCTTAAGAATTTTGAAGTGGAAGGGGAGAGTCCTGGGTATGATTTAAGGTAGAGCTAAACAATAGAACTTTCTGCAATGATGAAAACATTCTGTATCTGTGCTGTATCCATTCACAGTATGTGGCTCTTTAAGTCTAAATTTAAATAAATTAAAGTTTAAAATTTATTTCCTCGGCCACATTAGCCACATTTCAAGTGCTCAGTACCCACATGTGGCTAGTGGCTACCTTATTGGAGAGCACAGATATAAAACATGTCCATCATTGCAGAAAGTTCTTCTTGAAAGCTCTGGTCTAAGAGTTCCCTAGTCTGTTTGGGCTGCTATAACAAAATACCATAAACTGGGTAACTTATAAACAACAGAAATTTATGGTTTACAGTCCTGGAGGCTAGGAAGTCTAGTATTAAGGTGCTGGAAGATTTTGTCTGGTGTGAGGGCCTGCTCTCTGGTCCGTAGATGGCATCTTGTTGCTGTGTCCTTACATGGTGGAAGGGGCATGACAGCTCTTTGTGGCCTCTTTCATAAGGGCACTAATCCCATTCTTGAGGGCTTTGCCCCTGTGACCTAATCACCTTCCAAATACCCCACCTCCTAAGACCATCACATTGGGGATTAGGATTTCAACACAAGAATTCTGAGGGGACACAAACATTCAGACCATAGCAAGGGGCAAAGAGGTAGTAGTAGGGTGTCAGGGACAGGGATGAAATGATCAGAATGATGAAAGAAAAGGCTGTTTTGTAGCAACATCAAGGGCAGGACTTAGATCACTCTCCATTCTTGGGATTCACAGCCAAATTTAAGTTTTTACTCACAACCTTCTGGGGAGTAGGTTCTAGAACTCCTTCTGTCCTTCCTCCAGAGGCTTGGCTAGTGTTGACTGCTTTGAAAACATGCCAGTGGTATGTCTGGGAAGATAATGAGAGGAATTGTTATTTGCAAATGTTTTAAAGGATATACATGGCCTGACCAGATTGTTTATTATAAAATATACCTAGAGTTTATGGATTTGTGAGATTTGGCTTATAACTATCCAGCACATGTGATTTATGGATTTATGAGATAAAGCTTATAAACTCTCCAGCCTGTGTGATTAATAAGAGTATAAAAACTAAGGAGCCTAAGTCCAAACAGCTTTCCAAGCTGACATGTACTATACTCACTGCTTTGTCTTTTACTCCTTTTACTCCAAAACCATTCGGAAGATTAGGAAGCTGCGTCTCTAATGGTTCAGGACCTTTTTCAAGAGCAATGCCATATGAGTATCTGCTTTTTGCTTATATTCTTTGCTAATCTTTGGTAACATTTGGCAAAGAAGAATCTATGATTAGTGTAAGTCAGCTTTGATAAGGGAAGCCTTTGTGGTAACATAGTTTACCAGCTACTTTAGATATTATTGAAAAGTTGCTTTTTAAAAAATAAATCAGGTCAAGTTGGGCATGGTGGCTCATGCCTGTAATCCTAGCACTCTGGGAGGCTGAGGCAGGAGGAT